TCTCGGCTCGGGCCCCTCGGAGCTCGGGCTTCGGCCCCCTCCCCGCCCAGCTCCCGGCTCTCCTCGCTTGCGCGCCATCCTCCGCTCCCGGCGCTCGCCCACCAGGACCCGCTCCTCTCAGCCAGCCACAGCATCTGCACTGCCCGGCCCGTGTCCGCGCAGGACAGGTTACCGGACCAGCTGGAGGAGGGGCCTGAGAGCCGTGTGGCCCGCGGCACCCGACTCTGTGATTCCCCCAGATCTACCCCCCAGAATTTTGGGGGTTAGGGTCGCTAGGGATGGGCGCCCTAGAGCCCTTTACTAGGGGGGTAAAACTAGAGGGAGGAGTTGAGCTGTTCCCAAGTCCCCCGCCCCCGCCCGGGGGGGGCGAATATCCCTTCCCCTCTCTGTAATCGGCTCAGCCTGGTCCCAGTGACCTCCACCTCCCCCCACAGCTGAGTCTCTTGGCACCTGGGTGTGTGTGGGTGGGGAGGGGAATCCAATCTCCCTTCCTCTCCATCTGGCCTGGTGGACAAAGGGCAGGGGGACCATCTGGTCCCGCCAGAGTGGGGGCGGGGCCAACAGTGTTGGTCCCAGGGGTGGGGGAGGGGCGGCGCTCTGGAGACAGCAAGAGTCTGTGGGGTCTAATTGCATCACTTTATTTCACCGACTTCCACTATCTCCCCACCCCCAAACCTCAGAGCAGGAAATAAGCCTGGCTGAGGAGACCCAGGCCTGATAATCTGGGAGGTGTGGAAGCAAGGGAAAAAAGCAGGGAGATCTGACAGACAGTGAGATGGCCCTCCTCTTCTGGGGGGCATTTCAGCTGCAACCTGTGGCTGAGTAGAATCCAGGGCTGGCCACACCCTAAGCCTGGCAAAAGAGTCTCCTGCAAAAGGGCCCATGGAATCCCTGATTTCCCAGCCAATGGTGCAGCTTGGTTAGAAGTGTGCATGTACCTGTGCAAGCGCTTGTTTGAGGGCACATGCATGCACACGTGTATGTGCACACAATGTATAGCTGTGCATGAGAATGTGCACATCTGTTACATGTACCTATGTAGTTGATCACAAGTGAAGGGAACACAGTTAAGCATGCATGTGGCAGGGTGCAGAAGCTCAAGCCTATAATCCCAGCACTTTGGGAGGCAGAGGCGAGAGCACTGCCTGAGCCCAGGGATTCCAGACCAGCCCGGGCAACTTGGTGAGATCGCATCTCTACAATAAATCAAAAAATTAGCCGGGCGTGGTGGTGCACGCCTGTAATTCCAACACTTTGGGAGGCTGAGGTGAGAGGAGTGCCTGAGCCCATGGGTTCAAGACAGCCTGGGCAACTTGGCAAGACCTCATCTCTACAATAAATCAAAAAATCAGCCAGGCGTAGTGGCATGCACCTGTCGTTTCAGCTACTTGGAAGGCTGAGGTGGAAGGATCACCTGAGTCCAGCAGGTTCACATTGCAGTGACCGTAAGCATGCCACCGCACTCCAGCCTGGGCGACAGAGTGAAACTCTTACTCAAAAAAAAAAAAAGAAAGCCAAGCAGGAAAGCCTTGTAGGACAAGCTCATCTAATGGATTACCCACCACCAGATTACGTTCCTTAATTCTTGAGGTTTTTTCCTCTTGATTTTACCTCCTCAGTCTGTCACTGCAAGAGAAAGAAAAAGCAGAAAAGACAGACCTCAGAACACAAGAATCCAGATAGACATATAGACAGACACACCTGTTGCATGTGTATGGCAAGCCAGAACCCAAGGAGGAAAGAGAGAAATCCCAAGGCAGGCAGGCAGCCCATCCCGGTCAGCAGTGCTGGGCCTCAAGCTAGCTCCTTCAGGAAGTCCAGAAGCCCTGTGTGCCACTCCTCTGGTTTGTCCAGGTAGCAGGGGTGGCCTGCCCCCTCCATGATCAGCACCCGGTGGTTGGGCAGCTGCCTCAGATGCTCACAGCTGGTATGACCCATGGGATCCTGGTCTCCATATACAATCAGGGCTGGAGTCTGAGAGAAAGGATAGGGGGGTAGAGTCAACAAGGACCTGCCACATCAGCACAAACCTCCTAGAGATCAGCTGCAGCCCTCCCCACTGCTTCAGTCTCTCCCCAGGGCCATGGGATAGGGGCATGGACAAGTATCTGCCGCAGCACACAGGTTAGGACAAAGTAGATCAAGAGTGAAGTTTAGTGACCAGCTCCTTCCAGAAGACACCCCTTGGTTACCCAGCCCCCAGATGAGGAAGGTCTGGGGATAGACCCTTCCTTGCTCCTGGCAGGGGCATCTCAGCTTCCCACACAGGGGTACCTTCACATTGGCATAGCTGGCAGCACTGATTTTGTCTGTGCAGATGGGGGCCACTGGCACATAGCCCCGGAGCTGGGAGCCGGGGGCCGTGAGGAAGGGCAGGGAGTACATGCCACTCAATGATGGACTGATCACAACAGGGGGGCCCAGCTCCAAAGCATCCACCACAGCTGCCAGGAAGGTGCCAGGGACCAGCTCCCCAATAGGAACAGGGGCTGCTGCTTCCTTGGAGCGCCCCAGACCTGCAGAGATCCAAGTGTGGGAGAGACAAGACAAGGGCAATGAATAGGAAAACAAAGGAGAGAGGGTCCCTTCCTCCAGGAAGCCCTACTACGTCAATCTCTCTATGTCCAGGTTACACCTAATGTGCCCATGTTTATTCCTACAGCTGCCTAGGTCTGTCATATCTGTGGGAAGTATGAAGCACTTCCCTCCAGGTGTGTGCTCATCTCCCCCAGTAGTAACAATATCCTAGAAAGAATAATCAGGCTCTGAAGTCCAACAGGGCTGGGTCCAGGTCCCAATTCTCCATTTACTGTCTATGTGACCTTAGCCCACTCTCAGATGCTCAGTTTCATTTGTTAAAACAGAATACGAGCCCAGGCACAGTGGCTCAAGCCTGTAATCCCAGCACTTTGGGAGGCCGAGACAAGATTGCCTGAGACCAGGGGTTCAAGACCAGCCTGGGCAACTTGGTGAGACCTCGTCTCTACAATAAATAAAAAAAAAAAAAAATCAGCCAGGCATGGTGGCTCACACCTGTAGTTCCAACTACTTGGAAGGCTGAGGCAGAAGGATCACCTGAGCCCAGCAGGTCAAGGCTGCGGTGGCTGTGAGCATGCCACTGCCCTCCAGCCTGGGCGACAGAATGAGATGCCAAGTCAAAAAAAAAAACAGAGAGAGAGAATACAAAAAAAAGACTCTGCCACTTAAGGATGCTGTGAAAATTAAGTTAACAAGCCTGGCCCTGGATTGGCACAGGGTGGGATCCTCAAGGACAGTGGCTGAGGGGCTGGTTCTGCATTCATACCTCCCCCTCCAATCAGTCAGTCTCCACCCTCACCAACAAGATTAGCTTAAGACCTTTGCCATGAAGTTCAGCAAAACCCATCATTAAAATCAATCCTGACAGGGCTGGAGGTCTATCCTTGAGCTCTGAAACCATACCAGCCCTAACCACTGAGGGGTTCAGGTCAGTCATGCTGCCCCTTCCACACTTGACACCAAGGCCTGGGACCTGACAGTCCAGGTTATGACAGTCTGGGGACTGCCTCCACCTCCCCCAGAGCCTGGCTCAGGGCTTAGGGTGTGGGATCACAACTGGAGGCCTGACCACCCAGACACTGGAAAACTCAGGTCTCACTCCCCAGGGTTTCCAACAACCTAGGGTCAAAATATTTTACTTTCAATGGACTCGACACCAATTACTATGCATCAGGTACTAGTCACATACTCATGTGCATAATCTTATTTCACTCTCACTAGAGCCAGCCCCAAACATGAGTGTGTTTATCTCCCACTGCAGATGAGGCAGCAGAGGCTCAGAGATGCTGAGACATTGCTCCAGGTAACAGCTAGGAGCCTCTGGGCAGTGTCCTCCTCTTGATCAAAGCAGCTTAAAGGCCCTAGCAGTGTGCACCAAACTCTGTCAAGCTCAGGACCCAGTCTGGTTAGGTCCTCCCAGTCCCATAGCCCCCAGCCCTGGGTCCCCAAAGAGTCCTTCCCAACCCCTGCCCAGAAGCCTGTGTTTGAAGTACCTGGAAGGTCAATGGCCACAGTCCGGTAGCCAGCCTGGGCCAGCCTCTGCAGTGTACCCAGGTTCTGCCAGGTCTCGGAGGAGAAGCGGATGCCATGTAACAGCAGCACAGAGAAGCGAGCCTGCCCACTGCCTGGCCGTGCCTCTCGGAAGAAGAGGACCTGGCCGTGCACTTGGATGGTGCCCTCGTGGTGCTCCACGCCCGTCGCCATACCTGCCACTGCTGTGCTGGTGAAGTGCCTGTGGTTCAAAGCCAGGCTGATGAGGGGCCACAGAACATCCTGCCCAGGTGAAGCTGGGAAGCTGCCACTGATAGGGCAGGGCTCCTGCAGGGAATAGCAAGGAGACCTGCAGAGGTCTCACAGAACTCTGGGTAATGCTTTGGGGTCAGGAAGACATAGGTGTTATTCCTGCCTCTGCCACTTACTTAATTGTGTGGCTTGGGCCTCAGCGTCTTCATCTGAAATAAGGGGAAAATAAAGCCTACCTCAATAATTAGGAATGTACATAATTAAGAATTTAAGAAAACAAAGAATCTGTGAGGGTGCCTGCTGGTAGTAAGAATTCAATATGTGAGGCTCCCTTTATTGCTCTAATTGTTATTATCCTTTTCTCCAAATGGGGATAATGCAATAGTACTAGCTCATGAGACGTTAAATGAGGCCATGCAGGTACCAGACCTAGTGCACAGTAAGTGCTCAGTCAACCGTACGCACCTATCTTGCTAATCAGCCTCGTCCTTCCCAACGCACTGTTACAGGTCGTGGGTTGGCACCGCAGGCGGAAAGAGCCCCAGTCGGGAGTAAAAAGCCCATTTTCCAGAAGCGGAAACTAAAGCGCCCAGTGAAGAATGGCCTTGGAGGTCCAGTCCTCCAGGGACGCGGGGTGCTCATCGCGCTGCCAGCTAGGGTCCCACACGTTGACGCCGCGGTCACGGGCCTGCCACACGGCTCGCTGCGTCCCTTCCGCGGACCACGGAAGGGCCTACGGGAATGGGGCAGCCCCGAAGGAGGAAACCTGGGAATCTGAGATGGGAAGACTTGGGGTGTGTGGGATTGGGTTTCGTCCGGAGAGAGGACGAGAGTCGGGGCCGCAGGGCGAGTACCTGGGGAGCTGCGTGGACTCGCGCAGACGGGAGGCAGGAGAGTGCTGGCGGTGGCTGGGGCCAGGGGGGAAGCGGGGCAGAGGCCCGGCCCCATTCACCCGGGGCGGGGACTGGACCTTGCTCCGCGGCGCCCTCTTGTGGCCACAGGCTGCCGCAGGGTTCCTCGGAACCCTCACCTTGTTCTCATTGCAGCCTCAATTTCCCTAAGCTCCTCGGCTCCACGTGCCCCGGGTGTGGGGATGGGCGCCGCCTGGAAACTTCTAGCGACTTGTCCCACATGGACATGGCACGGCTTGAGGAGGAGGATTCCTTCGGGATCGCATCCCTGCTTCCTGCCCCCATGTTCCTCATCCCCAGCCAGAGCTGATCAGGCCCAGAGTTGTGCGCCTGGCCCAATGTTAAGGCCGGTCAGGCTTGAGTGTGAGACTCCGCCAGTGTCCAGCCAGGTGACCTCGATCGTTTTCCCAACGCCTTGGAGCCTGTTCCCTGCCTGGAGAGTGGGGTTGGATGTTGCCAACCTCTGCAGGATACCAACAAGCAGGGTACCAACCTCTGCAGGGTACCAATAACCCCACGACCTGCACAGTCTCCCGCGGAGCCCCGAGCCTAGGACCGACCAGATGTTGGTCACACATTGCCAACCAGGATGGGTGCCATGAGTAGACGGGAAGAGGCCGAGAGGCCTTCCCGGGCTCGGACCTTGTGTGTGGGTGGGAGGAAGGATGCTGGTGGGTGGGGGAAGGGGTGTCAGGGAAGTGGTTGGGCCAAGACCTGGAGCTGCTGGCATTTACACATAGAGGTCTCTGCCCCTGGCACTGTTCAGAGGCTTCACCCGTCCTTAAGGACCTATGACAACCCTATGCACTGGGTTGGGGTCTTATCCTTTACTCCATTAAGGTCTAACCAGAGGGGCTGCCGCTGGGGCCCACGCGCAGACAGGCAGGGAGCTGTGGGGTGGGGGTGGGGGGCGTCGGGAAACATCCCCAAAACATCCGGAAGAGGTGGGTGGGGCCCAAGCAGGACCCCCAGCTCCTAGCTCTGGCCGGTGTCCAATTGGTGCTCAATAAAGATGTGTTTACAGCCGGGCTCGGTGGCTCAGCCTGTAATCCCGCGCCTTGGGAGGCTGAGGTGAGTGGATTCCCTGAGCTCGCGGGTACGAGACCCGCCTGGGCAACTTGACGAGACCTCATCTCTACAATAAATCAAAAGTCCGCCGGCGGGGTAGCGCGCGCCTGTAATTCCGGCTACTCGGAAGGCTGAGGCGGAAGGATCGCCGGAGCCCCGCAGGCGCGGCTGCGGTGGCCGGGAGCGGCCGCTGCACTCCAGTCTGGGCGACCGAGTGAGACTCCAACTCAAAAAAAAAAAAAGATGTGTTTACTGGACACCCAGATGAAGCAGGCGTGCTCATCCTAGGCTCAAGAATTGGCCGGGACTCCGCTGGGTCTTATCCTTAACTCTGTTATACAGACGAAAGAACTGAGCGAGGGTGAAGATGATCTGGTGGGAAAAGCCAGGTGGCTCTCCGCGGGCCCTCGGACCACAGACCATCCGGAAAATCTGGACGAGGGGCGGGCCTCCGAGCTTCGGCGCGCCGCCCCGAGCCCGCCCTCCCGGGGGCCGCTCAGAAACAGGCCTCAGGCCTGCGACTGCGGACTGCGCAGGCGC